ACGCAATTGAAGGTTAAAATTTAAAAACTTATTAATAAAATTTAAGTAATATCTGTGGATAATTAACAATAAACTACTTTTTTCGCANGCCCTGCTAACTTCCACGGAAGTTAGCAGGGCACGCGATATTTTTTAAATTGTTTCCGCGGCAAAATAATTGTTTTCACGGATAAACAACGGATAATTTACGGCAAATTATCAGATAGTTAGTTTGGGTTTAGCTGGTTCCCTTCATTGGTTTTCAGAAGGTGCCCTGCTAACTTCCACGGAAGTTAGCAGGGCACTCGATATTTTTTAAAATATGTCCGCGGCAAAATTATTCTTTTCACGGATAATTTACGGATAATTAACGGCAAATTATGCGATAGGAATTTTTGCTTTGAGAAAAAGTTGTCCTGCCAAGTTCAGAGAGGTCTTTTTTCAGGTGTATTTTTTCTAAGATTTTGTATAAAAACAAAAAGAAAACTGTATAGGTATAGGGTTGGTCGAATGAATGGCCTCCTAGTTACCAGTTCCGAGTCTTTTCGATTGCTGAGTATGAGGCCTTATGTTGGACAAAAAGACGGAGTATACGGAGCCAAATGGAGGAAATTAGCCTATGGTTACAGAAGATCGTCACTACACACGAATAAAGGCGCGATAGTGTTTTGACGGCGAAAAAAGGAGCGAAAAAACATTTTCGAAAAAAGATGCTTTTGAAAAACTTCGGCGAAGTATGTTAAGAGTCTTTGACGCTGAAGTTTTTTTATGCTCATTTTTTGAGCTCGCTCCTTTATTCGTGTCTAGTGACGATATGTAATAAAGTAACCGACGAAGACTTGCGTGCCGCTTGAGCTTTTCTCTCAAAGTCTTTACCGCTGGTAAACGCAATTGAAGGTTAAAATTTAAAAACTTATTAATAAAATTTAAGTAATATCTGTGGATAATTAACAATAAACTACTTTTTTCGCAAATAAAGTTCCCTTTTATTTTTCAATAAAACCTGTGCAACAGTTATTATTTTACGCCCTGTATATGATAAAATATTAACAGCTGGAAAAAGGAGTACAAAAGAAGTACAAAACTATGAAAGGAGTACATTTCCAGATATTTTTTTTGGGAGTACAAGGGAGTACATTACAATAAAAAGGAGTACGTTTACTCCCAAAAGCAGTACGTCTGGCAACCCTATGCCTAACCCTGACTAACATACCACATGAGTGGACATAGGCAAAAGCTGTATTCTTACCAAAAGGAGGCAAGGCCGCTCATGTGAAACCGAAGGATTTCAGGCCTATAAGCCTCACTTCATTCTTCCTTAAAACTCTAGAGGCTCATCGACGAATATATTCGACGGAATATAAAAAAATTACAACCTCTCCCCGAACCAACATGCCAAAGGAAAATCCGTGGATACCGTCACGAAAGCANACGGAGCCAAATGGAGGAAATTAGCCTATGGTTACAGAAGATCGTCACTACACACGAATAAAGGCGCGATAGTGTTTTGACGGCGAAAAAAGGAGCGAAAAAACATTTTCGAAAAAAGATGCTTTTGAAAAACTTCGGCGAAGTATGTTAAGAGTCTTTGACGCTGAAGTTTTTTTATGCTCATTTTTTGAGCTCGCTCCTTTATTCGTGTCTAGTGACGATATGTAATAAAGTAACCGACGAAGACTTGCGTGCCGCTTGAGCTTTTCTCTCAAAGTCTTTACCGCTGGTAAACGCAATTGAAGGTTAAAATTTAAAAACTTATTAATAAAATTTAAGTAATATCTGTGGATAATTAACAATAAACTACTTTTTTCGCAAATAAAGTTCCCTTTTATTTTTCAATAAAACCTGTGCAACAGTTATTATTTTACGCCCTGTATATGATAAAATATTAACAGCTGGAAAAAGGAGTACAAAAGAAGTACAAAACTATGAAAGGAGTACATTTCCAGATATTTTTTTTGGGAGTACAAGGGAGTACATTACAATAAAAAGGAGTACGTTTACTCCCAAAAGCAGTACGTCTGGCAACCCTATGCCTAACCCTGACTAACATACCACATGAGTGGACATAGGCAAAAGCTGTATTCTTACCAAAAGGAGGCAAGGCCGCTCATGTGAAACCGAAGGATTTCAGGCCTATAAGCCTCACTTCATTCTTCCTTAAAACTCTAGAGGCTCATCGACGAATATATTCGACGGAATATAAAAAAATTACAACCTCTCCCCGAACCAACATGCCAAAGGAAAATCCGTGGATACCGTCACGAAAGCACTGCCCACTACACCCACCAAATCTCTGGAAATAATGTTAAATCTTCCACCTGTGGATCTCTACGGAAAATTTCGGGCCGGCTGCAGTGCGGCCAGGTTAAATACAATCCAGCCGTGGAGAGACCTCAGATTCGAACACGCAAAAGCACTTAAAATTCTACCGGATAATCTACGACAGATAGATTATACCACTCCTCTACTCTGTTTAGACAACAAATTCTCCACAAGAATCCCAGAGAGGAACGAAGGGGAAGGAGCCCCAGACCTGAACCCAGGGTCTACGGCCATATATTGCAGATGGTTCCAAGATTAACAAAATAGTGGCTAGCGGGATCTACTCTGACGAACTAGCGCTAAACCTCAGTTTTCGCTTACCGGACCATTGTAGTTATTTTCAAGTGATATATTGCCGTGCAAAAAAAACATACATTATTAATTAAATATGGCTGCAAAACAAATAATGTTGGAAAAAGTTCCACTATTTACTAAAAGCTAAAGAAAATAAAGAAATTCTAAGAAACCGTAGCAGCCAATTGTTTTATTCACGATTACGATAAAGGCCTGCAAGCACAGTTTCAAACTGTTCTCGATTCGGTCTGAAGTGCGGCACTTCTTGAGTTAAAATATGTATCTACACTTGTTTAATTTATTTGACCAGTTGTAGGACTTGTAGCGCTTGTGTTACAGGCCCCTGATCTAGAAAAAGTTAAATAAAAGCTTATAAAAACAGTATACAGATCCGTAATCTACGACCTAGCGTCCCTAATGTGCTATCAGAGTGATAAATTCGTCGATTTATTGACACTTAATAATGTAATGCTTTTCCAGATGTCGTAGTTCGCAATTTTGAAACAAAATGATTTGTACATATGCAAAGCAATTGGAGATCCCTAGTCAACCAACATTAATTACGAGAAAACATCCAATTGACAGACCAGTCATAATAAGTTTGTTTTATAGTCGTACACAAAACAATAAAGAGAAATTGGGTTGCTGCGCATGCAGATGTGGATTAATCTTCATGGACAATATTAGGAAGGAAATTAAAACCAGTTTCGACTATACTATTGTTAGACGCAATTATACACATACGGAACACCCTCGTTAGTTTATTAATATTATTACTTTCTATATTACGGAACATTAATGCTTTCCTTGAATATATTATGATTTTAAAACATTATCTAAAGTCAGACTACTCAAACATATTATGCAATCTAAAGGATGCTTATGTTTTCCAATTATTTTGACGATTAGTACTTGATCCCGGCGCCTGTGGTTGCGGCATCATTTCCATTAAGTATTGCCTTTGCAGTTCGGCAGCCCGTTGTATCTCGGCCAAATTGGATGTCTGATTCTTTGAAGACGCGGAGGAGGAATTTTTCTTGTTTGTGAAAGCTAGAATGAAAGAAATCGTTAACATTTTTAGGATGGCCAGTTATAAACTAATAATTTAAGTTAGTTTTCCAAATACATAATTCATAATTCATCATTCGTGTTCAATGTATAAATGTACTACCATAGCAGATCAGGGGAGTTATTATGTAATTCTTTTCGAAAGATTAAATTACTCGAAAATTGTATTCGATACGAATATGAACTCCTACTATCTAACTCTTTACGCGTTGGCGACGGCGAGTACCGCAGACGATGGAACGATGAGCTGTATGAGCTTTACAACGACATAGGCAAGGTGCAGCGAACTAAAATACAGCGGCTCCGCTGGCTTGGCCATGTCGTTCGAATGGACTCCGATGCTCCAGCTCTCTGAAAGTATTCAACTAGGAACCCGCTGCACAGTGGTCAATAAATGGAATTTAATGTTCATAATTCACTGGAGCCTTCATTTCTCAACCGATTTGATTAATTACACTATGCGACAGTCAAAATCGGGATGGGATGAAACCAACGGGAAATGTTATATCGGTCAAACACAAGTTATACGTGGCCCGGCGTTTCGCTGGGTCACGTCTAGGAATCGAGATATATCGATTTGAAGTTAGTAACTATCATATAGGGAAAATTGTCACCTTTGGTGGTCTTTTTTTTGACATAACTCGAGAACCACTAGTCCGATTTTGATCAAACAAATTTAAAAAAATTAAAAATTACAATTCCTTTAAGCAAAATGAGACATAGATCATGAAAATCGATGGACGCGTTTCGCTTTTATTCACAATTAAGTGAAGGTACATAAAATCAATATTCTTGTCAAAGTGAGATACCTTCACTTAATTGTGAATAAAAGCGAAACGCGTCCATCGATTTTCATGATCTATGTCTCATTTTGCTTAAAAGTTATGTGACTTTGCGTGAAAGTAATACGACTTGCCTTTTTTCCGTTTTGGATTTTTTATGAATTTAAAAAAT